AAAATAAAGGGACTAGCTCCATAGAGCAATAGTTAGCAATGTTGGATACCCCATGGCCGGACACAGTTTAAATCCTGGCCCCCGTGGCTTGAAAAACAGACCAAGCATGGGGAACCAGCAGTTAGCGTAATCGCTATGTCGCTGGACTCCCACGTAGTCGACCGCGGTTCGCGTCTCGGACCCGGTGGCTTAAATCTCACGCCGGGCGCGTGTGCGTGCGTGCCCAAGATCCCGAGAGGAGAATGGAGGAGAAGGGATTGCGGCGTGACCATCCCCCCTGGGGGGTGATTTCTCGCTTTCTGTCTCTATGTCTCTCTCTGTCTGTCTGGCGAGCGCACGCGCCCTATAGCGAAAACCTCTCAAAAAAAAAAAAAAAAAAACAGACCAAGCATGAAGAACATGTGGGTACACACGTGCCCAAAATCCTGGTGGGATACAGAGATGGAGGGAAAAGGGCTACCGTGTGACCACACCGTATTGGAGGGCGTTTTCGTGCACAGTCTAGTGAGCAAGAATACTCTCTGGCAATTAAAAAAATACATACTTGGGGGCTGGCAGGGTTTAAGGGCACTAGACTCCCACGTGGCTGACCACAGTTCGAATCTCCGACCTGGCAACTTGCTTTCTCGTTTTCTCTCTCTCTCTCTCTCTCTTATCCTGTCTCTCTCTGATCAAATTTAAATAAATAAGTAAATAAATAAAGTTAAATAAACCCTCTAAAAATACATTTTACATAGATTTTTTTTTAATTTGTCCATGCGCTGGGGGGTGGGAGGCCTTGCTTGTGCCTGTGTGGTGTGTCTGACTTCACAGGCTGGACACGGGTAGGAATAGTTGGCGTGATCACTTTCTTTGCTGAGGTACAGCAGAGTACCAAGCCTTCCCTCCCTCCCTTCCTCCCTCCCATCCTCCTGTCCCTTTTGGTTAGAGAAGTGGGAGGTGTCAAATGAAGCACAACCTTACCTCGTACAGCATTTGAGTTACCAGATTAAACTCAGGCGACAGAATGCTCGCGAGCCGGGTATGCCGGGGAGGCTCCCAGTGCCAGCTTTCCGTACTCGGTGCACACAGATGGCAGCCCATGGGTGTAGTAAATTGGAAATAATCCTTCTCCTTCCTTTGACTTTCTCCCCTTGCTTTTTCTCTTGTAGTATAAACCCATGTTTTTAAAGAATTTTAAACATTTGACCATAGGCGTGTGGTTATATATAAATATCACCATTAAAAGAACTAATCGGGACTGGATCCCACGTGGCCGACCCCGCTGTTTGAGTCTCATACCTAGCTTGAACATCACACTGGATGTGTATGCGGCCAAAATCCCAAGAGGAGGGGCCGGCAGGTGGTGTAATGGTTAAGGCACTGGACTCCTATATGGTTGATAGTGGTTCAAATCCCAGAGCCAGCAGCTTGAAACATGCCGGACGCATGTGCACGCATGCCCAAAATCCTGAGAGGAGAATAGGAAAGGGATTGTATTGTGTCCATCTCCCCCACCCTCCAGGTGATTTCTCGCTTTCTGTGTGTCTCTCTCTCTTGCTCTAGTGAGCACATACGCCCTACAGCAAAATCTCTCAAAAACAAACAGACAAAACACAAAAACAACAAAAATATCCAGAGAAAAATGGAGGAGAGGGAACCAGCAGTTAGCGTAATGGCTATGTCGCTGGACTCCCATGTAGTCGACCGCGGTTCGCTTCCCGGACCCGGTGCCTTAAAACTCACGCCAGGCGCGTGTGCGTGCGTGCCCAAGATCCTGAGAGGAGAATGGAGGAGAAGGGATTGCGGCGTGACCATCCCCTCTGGGGGGTGATTGCCCGCTTTCTGTCTCTCTGTCACCCGGTGCCTTAAAACTCACGCCAGGCGCGTGTAGCAAAAACGCCTCTCAAAAAAAAAAAAAATGGAGGAGAAAGGATAGTGGTGTACCCCCCATAATTTTTCTTTTTCTTTTTTTTGGAGAAGTTTTTTCACTATAGGGCGCGTGCGCTCGCCAGACAGAGACAGACAGACAGAAAGCGAGAAATCACCCCCCAGGGGGGATGGTCATGCCGCAATCCCTTCTCCATTCTCCTCTCAGGATCTTGGGCACGCACGCACACGCGCCCGGTGTGAGTTTTAAGCCACCGGGTCCGGGACGCAAACCACGGTTGACTACGTGGGAGTCCAGAGACACAGCCATTAAGCTAACTGCTGGTTCCCACCCCATGTCTGTCTCACACACATGCCTTGGAGCAAAACTAAAAAATAAAATAAAGTTAAAAACTTATCAAATTATGAGCAGTTTAAAATGCTATGAAAGTTGTACAGTTGTCGTGTTTCCGTATTTTAACTGAGAGCAATACACAAAGTGTGATATGCCTTCTGTCTGGAGATTCCCGTGAGTGAGCAAGTGCGTGTTACTAGAAGTGGGAGCAGACACAAGCGAAAGCTTTGTTTAATAAAATGTCCTCCAAGCTAACTTCCTACTTCTCAGTCTGAGCACTTTTAATAAAAATGTGTTTCATTTTGTAAAAAGTCCAGTTAGAAGGGCCAGCAGGTGGCGTGATGGTTGTGGCACTGGACTCTCACGTGGTCAGCTGCGGCCTGAGTCCCAGACATGGCAGCTTTCTCTCTCTCTCTCTCTCTCTCTCTCTCTGGTGAGCTCACATGTCCTATCACAAATTCATAATAAAAAGGGCCAGCAGATGGTGGAGTGGTTACATCACTGGACTCCCACATGGCCAACCGTGGCTCCAGTCCCAGACCCGGTGGCTTCAAAATCATACCAGGCATGTGTGCGTGTATGCCCAAGATCCCGAAAGGAGAATGGCGGAGAAGGGATTGCACTGTGGCCTGGCCGTCCCTTCCGGAAGGTGATTTCTCACTTTCCCTGTGTCTCTCTCTCTCCCCCCCTCCCCCTGGCAAGTGCACTCACCCCTGAGGCAAAAACCTGTAAATAATATATAGTTATTAAAGAATAACCTCTAAATTAAATAATTCTAAAAAGAAATTCCAAGTGGAGTTCGTTTCTATGTTGTAATGTATCGGTATAGTTTTTTGTTTGTTTTTTTCTCCCGGGTCTCCAGATACAGGACTTGAATCTCACGGTTGGCCATGTGACATCACCTTCCTTAACCATCTGGCCACAAGCTGGTCTCACATTTCCTTTTTTTTTTTTTTTTTAAAGAATCATTTATTTAATTAAATTTATTTATTTTTTTGACCAGAGATGGGGAAAGTGAGAAAGCAAGCTGTCAGATCTGGGACTAGAACCATGATCAACCATGGTCCAACACCTTAACCACTACATGACCTCCCAGCTCCTCCCATAGTTCTTTTTTACTGAAAATAAAATTAGGTTCATTTTGAGCTAGAGCAAGAAAAACATGCGACCATCTCTCTGTATCGCGCACCATGAGGAAGAGTTTAAAGACATACGTTTAGAGCTGTCACCAGAGCCACCTCTGGGCCATGTGAGAAAATAATCTGGCTTTTTATTGTTACTTCATGCACATCTAGGCTATTGAGCCCGGGAGGAAAGAGAGTAAAGTTGTTAGTTGAGAAACTTCTGCCCCGCCTGGGTGTGCTGTGGGGAGTGAGGACAGGGCCGTGGGTGCCCCACTCTGTGCCTGGTCACATGCTGCACACGAGAGTACTGTAAACTCGGTCTCTGTGCTGTTTGCCGTCTTTCCAAATAGAGAGACCCTTTGTCCTATCTCTGACCTGGCCTGCTTTCAGGCACCCCAGTACGGCCCCTCAAGTTACGTGCAGAAGCAGGAGGGTGCGCTGTAGGGCCCTGCAGCCGCCTGGCCTTCGTGCAGACAGGTGAGTGGCGGTGACTGCAGGGGGCTCCGAGGTTGCCGGGCAGCTTCCGAGTGTGTCCTAGCCACTCACAGCCTTCTGTCGTAATACACCGTGCCCTTCGTTTTTGGGGACGGTGCATTCCAAAGCAGGAGTTTTTCTTTTTTTTAACTTGCTATGGAGCACATGTGCTTTCCAGAAAGAGAGAGAGCAAGAATCACCCCTCAGGGGATGGCCACTCCGCAGTCCCTTTGCTTCCATTCTCGAGGTTTTGGACATGTGCACACATGCCTGGTGTGATTTTCAAGCCACCAGGTCCAGGCCCTGAACTGCCCAGCCACTGCTCCACTGAGATGGCCCTGAAACATGATTTGAAAGAGAACACCGGTTTTCCTGCAGTCCCTTCATCCCAATTAGTGATCGTTTTCATGTGAAATAGCCGGGCAGCTGTGACTCCAAGCTCCTGAAGGGACTCCCCTCCCCTTCTTCCTGGTGAGGCTGGGGCCAGTTGCCCCCACAGTTTTCTGTGAATCCACTTTTCCTTCTGGCCAAAGTGCATTAGCGTTGGGAGAAGAGTCTGTTAACTGCTGCAACAAGAAAGCCTGATGCCAAGACTAGCCACTGTGCACAGGGTGAATCCCCGTGTTCTCGATGTTCTGAGAGTCCAGCACAGAGCACGAGCCAGGAAGAGGGCAGCAGGGGGGCCCTACCTCCAACGCAGGGAGAGGCTGCCTTCTTGCACGTGGCCCTCCCTCAGGCTGGTACAGAGCCTCCAGCTTCTGGGCCTGGCCTTGCCTTCCCGCTCTCCCCTGTTGCCATAGCAGTGAAGCTGCAGCCTTCGCCATTGCTGGGTGGCTGTAAGGGGCCTGTCTCTCCCTGTAGCTCATCCTGGGCTTTCCCTGGCTGCCTTTCTGATGAGTCAGAAGGGAGCCCGGTGGGCCTACCTAGCGGCCCATTTCTGAGTTTCTTCTGTAGAGTGTGGCCCGTGGTGGTGCCTTGATGAGTCACTGGCACCTTATGGAGAGTGGAGTAGGGCGAGGCGAGGTGGCTTGGGGGGCCCCATCGGGGAGGGCCTGACCGCATGTCATTCCTGGGCATAGCGAGGGGAGAGAGTGAGGCCTCTTCCTCCACCAGGGACTGCTGTGTTGCTCACATTTCGAGGCTGGATGTCCCTTTTCTCTGGGGAAGCAGATGTTGACTGCCTTGCCTTCCTTCCTTAGGTGGTTTTTTGGCAAAATCCCCAGAGCCAAGGCAGAAGAAATGCTTAGCAAACAGCGGCACGACGGGGCCTTTCTCATCCGAGAGAGCGAGAGTGCTCCCGGGGATTTCTCCCTGTCTGTGAAGTAAGTATTTCCCGCTCTCGTGGCCTGGAATCCTGGCTCGGACTGATCCAAGTCGTGAGGCCATCAGTCAGGTGTCCGGTATGCAGCGCAGAGGTGCAGCCTAAACAGTGTTTTAATTGTATATCAAACGCGTTTCTGGCTCCTTTTAAAAAGCCAGCTGTAGCAGCACGGGGTTCCGGTTCCCTGGCAAACCGCCCTCCGGAGCCGCAGCATCACCTCCCCTGGACAGGTGCGTGCTGGTCCTCTGCAGCCCCCCTTAGCGCTGTTACCTGCCCGTCGTCCCCCCTCACCCGCGTACCCTTGCCCTAGGTGGGATTCCCGCAGGCCCTGACGGAATACCCAGTACCATCTCAGCCGCTGTGCTTGTCTTCCAGAGAGCTGGCTTACACCTTCCAGCTCAGGCCAGGCCTCTCCCGTTAGCACAGGTTACTAACCAGGAGGGGCGTGGGGGCTGGTAAGCAGAGAATGGGAACGACAGCGAGTTTTACTGCGATGGGAATTGGGGGGCATAAATTGGAACTTCAAGGATTTTAAGCAAATCTCACTTCATCTGTGAAACGGTTTTGAATTAAATTGTCATTTCCTTATGTTTTTTAACTCCTTGTCCTTTTCTAGTTAAATCTCTTATCATAGGAAACCTTCCCAGGACCCTTACACATCACTTCTTCATTCGTAGACAAAGAAGTGTTTGTATTAAACGCTCGGACCACTGGCGTGTTCTCGATTGCTTTAAGATCATTTTTGTAAATGAAAGCTGTAAAGTAATTTTCCACTTAGAAATGACACAGCGTGAGACTGGGACTTTTCAGTCTCAGAAATGAGCTGAATATCTTACTGTGTTTTAGTGTGCAATTAAAGTGTAGTGTTTTTTTAATGTAAAGTTGAAGACAGTTATTTCTTTTTCCTGAATGAAGATATGAGAGGAGTCAGGTGCTGTTTGTAATACCTCACAAATATCTTTGCAATGTAGCTTTTATTCCCAACATCTAAAAAGTCAATCTGGATATAATTTTTAGTCTTCCCCTGGTAATAAGTGGTTTTTAGTGCTCAGTAGAACGTACGCGAGGAAGGGTCTGAAGTGCCCATGGGGCGGACAGGGGGAGTGGCCGCTTCGTGCCTCTCACTAACTCACATGCCAGCGGTTTTGCCGGCCTTGTGCCCCCCGCGTATTAATTGAGCAGGGTGAGACGAGGAGTAGGGCAGTTATCACGGGGCGATGGCCAGAACCGCTGGGGCCGTCACAGCGCAGCTGGGCCTGCCCGTCCGTGTGCGCAGCACCAGCCGCTGCTTGCGCTCCTGCAGCGCACACCCAAAGCCCCTGCACCCACCATTTTATCACCAAGCACCTTTTAAGGAGAGGACGTCTTTATTTTAGGAATTATGTCATTGTGGCTTTTACGGTACAAACACCTTCACAGAGGCAGCTCGAGCCAGCAACCTCTGGGATGTTTGTGTAATTTCAAGATGTTTAGGACCTGCGATTTAAAACACTGTGGTTAACTCGAAGCTCACGGCTGGTTCCCTACATGTAGAAACATCTGCATCACACCTGTGGGAACGGGTCCCTGTGAGGTAGACGGGCCATCTGAAGGTGCACCTCCTAATGAGGCTTTCTCCCAGCTGCATGGTTCCTTGCTTGGAAAAGCAGTAGGTCCCCAGCATTTGGCATCTGGTACCAAGTGGCTTCCTTTAAACTCAGTACTGCCACCTGCTGGATCGAGCATTTGGTGACTTTAAGAGGAGGAGGGAGAGACTCATTCATTCATGGAGCCAGTGTTTGTAGAGAGAGCCCTGGAAGGACTCAGCCTTCAATGGGACAGGCAGAGCCCTACTGAGCGTGTGTTCCAGCCCGATGTCCCGAAGACAGACCCTGTGGCCAGTCCTGGTCTGCGGGTTTTGCTGGCCAGTGTAAGAGGGATGTGTTAGCTGCAGAGGGAGAAGTCTTTGTTATAATGATGCCTGGGCCGCCTGTGCTGTCCCAGTATGTCCTCAGTTCTGAGACTTTCCCACATGGATAGAACTAAGATTCTTAAATGGAAAACATGACTGAACTATCCTGGTGCCAAGACAATTTGAAACACTGAAAGTGTTTCAGATCTTTCCTATCCCACCTCTTCTCGTCTTTCTCATATAGGACTTTAATTATTTTGCTAGAAAAGGAAGCCACATGCCTTACCTTAAGGAAGACTGTTTTATTTGTTCAGTGCAGGCTAGTGTGCCATGGGTTAAGCCAGTCACCGTTTACCCTGCGAACTTCTTACATGGACTGAAGAATGGGGTGTCCCTGTGCTGTGAATGGTACCTATAGCCACATGGTGGGGCCCTGAGTGCACAGCAGTTGTCCCAGCCCTTCCCGGCTCTAGGGTCCTGGGGCCCCTCAGGCTGAGAGGAATGTTGTGGAACAGGGGCCAGAAGACTCCTCCTGCTCAGGCAGTTAGCCCTGATCCCCAGGACAGCTCTGGGACTGGTTCACGTGTGCTTTCTGCCCCTCCCCAGGTTTGGGATTGACGTGCAGCACTTCAAGGTGCTCCGAGATGGAGCTGGAAAATATTTCCTCTGGGTGGTGAAGTTCAATTCTTTGAATGAGCTGGTAGATTATCACAGATCCACATCCGTCTCCAGAAACCAGCAGATATTTCTGCGGGATATAGAACAGGTGCCACAGGTAAGCCTCGTGAGGGATTGGGATCATTTCTGGCAATTAAGAAGAGTTCTTCTGGGGATGACAGGTGGTGTAGTGGTTAAGGGCGCTGGACTCCCACATGACCGACTGCAGTTCAAGTCCCAGACATGGCAGCTTGCCTTTTACCCTCCCTTGCCCCTACAAAGTAAAATAAATGACGTTAAATCTTTTTTTTTTTTTTTTTTTGAGAGGTTTTTGCTATATGGTGCATGCGCTCACCAGAAAGAGAGAGACAGAAAGCAAGAAATCACCCCCCAGGGGGATGGCCACGCAGCAATCCCTTCTCCTCCATTCTCGTCTCAGATCTTGGACATGCACGCACATGCACCCGGCATGAGTTTAAGCCACCGGGTCCGGGATTCGAACCGCGGTCAACTACATGGGAGTCCAGCAACATAGCCATTATGCTAACTGCTGGTCCCAATAACTCTTAAAAAAAAAAAAAATCCTCCAAAAATCCCAAGAGGAGATTGAAGAAGAAGGGATTGCAGTACAGTGTGGCCATCCCCCAGGGGGGTGATTTCTCTCTTCCCCCTCACCCCCCAAGTGCATGTGCCCTATAGGAAAAACTTAAAATGGAAATAAAATGTATTTGCTTCTTCCTCCCTGAGGCAGTGCCTGGCTGCCTTACCACCTGTCTCTCTGTCTTTAACAAACTTTCTCAAATACCCTGTCCCTGGGAGCACATCAGGGATGGCCGAGCGTGTGAGGCACCGGGGTCTGCACTGATGGCTGTCTTCCAAGCCCTGATGCTGGCCGGAGTTGTGCTTGGTATCTTCACTGGCGCCTTCTGGAGCTTTTGCACCGTGGGGCTGTCAGTGGTAGGGACTCAGCTGTCCCCAGTCTGGGGTGTAAAGAAGCTCCAGCCCACCTGGGCCATACCCTCTGTGCGAGAGCGGGGTTTGCTGCTGCTCTCCGGGCAGGTGGCACTGCTGGCCGCCTCAGCGGAACAGGCCCTGGGATTTCTGAGCATTGGTGAAAGGGGACTCTGAAATTGCACTTAGTAAACTTAGAATGTTGAGCGGGTATTTCGAGAAGTGCGGCGATCTGGCACCGCCCACTTCCCCGTCCTGGGCCGGGCAGCGGCCAGCGGCGCCCAGGCCCACGTGTGCTCTCCCTGCTCCTCTCTTGCAGCAGCCGACGTACGTCCAGGCCCTCTTTGACTTTGACCCCCAGGAGGATGGCGAGCTGGGCTTCCGTCGGGGAGACTTTATCCACGTCATGGATAACTCAGACCCCAACTGGTGGAAAGGAGCTTGCCACGGGCAGACGGGCATGTTTCCCCGCAATTACGTCACCCCTGTGAACCGGAACGTCTAAGAAGCAGAAGAGATTATTTAAAGAAAGCGAAGAGTTTCAGACATGTACAGAAGAATTCAACCCACAGCTGTCTCTGCCAGCAGCCTGTGGGGAGCTCGGGACACCTGCTGGGTCACCCTGTGACCCTCTCACTTTGGGGGGACTTTGGGGGGAGGGGGCGTTGGATATAAAAAATGCCAAAACTTACCTATGGATTAAGAAAAGAGTTTTTATTACAAGTTTTCACCGCTGCTCCCATTTCCCCTCCTTTGTCCTTTTTTCATCTTTTTTCTCTTCTGTCCATCAGTGCATGACGTTCCAGGCCACGTATAGTCCTAGCTGATGCCAATAAAAGAAACGAAACCAAGTGGGCTGGTATTTTCTCTATGCAAAGTGTCCACTGTAGTCGGAATGCCAGGAGAGCTGCCCTGTGTTCTCCACGTACACACGAGGAGGGGGTGCCTCTGCGGTCATCCTCTGTCCCCCGTCCCAGCCCCAGCCCCAGCCCCAGCCCCAGCCCCAGCGTTTGTCAGAGTTGGAAGCAGCGGGTGAGGGAAGTGGAGCCTGCCCCTCGAGAAAGCCCAACTGCAAACTCCGTCTCTGCCTTGCTTTGTTTTTCCCCTTCCAAACGGTATTATTGAGCATGTTTATTCATAGTGCCTTTTTCCTTATTTCAAGGTTGCTTATGAGTGGTGTTTTTTGTTTTGTTTTAAAATAAGTTAAAGACAGTCCAGAGCTTTTCAGCCAGTTTGTCTCCTACTCTGTGTAAATATTTCCCTTGCGGGAGGGAGCAGGGTAGAGAAGAGGAGACCGTGGGAGTGGGGCGAGGCCTTCTGCTGGGTGAGCACAGGCTTCCAGGTTCAGCTTTAATGTGTGGAGCCTACCGGCCAAGGGAGCCAGCCCGGGGCATGCGGCCGCCAGGGAAGGAGAGGCTGTGGCCTTCATACCTGAGTGGATCTGGCTGAAAGGGGGTCAGATCCTTGACCTCCAGGGCTCAGGTATGGTCTGCCCCACCTCATCCCGAGACCCCCCCAGATGCAAACCCCTGAGCCAGCAAGCTTCGAACTCCGAAAAGCAGGAAAAATGACTGTTGAACCTGCTGTTCTTCGGCTGACGGGTCATGCCCTCCTGTTGTGCCAGGGCAGAAAGTGAGAGGATTCATTTTTCATTTTTCTTGCTCTTAAAACTGGGTCGTGGCTTTCACCTCTGTGTCCCCTTACCTGCCCAGGCCAGAGTTGGCAGCGTCAAGAAGCCGCGGGGCCATCCCGTCTCCATGCACAGGGGGTGTGTTTGCACCTGCACCTGTCCCTGCCCTGGAAGGCGCCCGCGAGCAGGGAGCGTTGGGGAAGGATGATAGGAAGGTCGAGGCCACCGCAGAGCTCTGTCCACCTCCTGTCAGCTTTGACAGCCTGCAGCCATGTGCCTGTAACCTCTTCTCCACCCGGTCCCCTCACACGACAAACCAAGACCTCTTCCATTGCTCTCCCCGGGAGTGGTGACGTCTGAGGCTGTCGGTGGGAGACCCCTCGGACCCGCTGTGCTGACGGACTCGACCTGGAGCCCTGTGGACAGCATGTGGCCACCACTCCTCGCTCCCTCTTGTTCTGCTTCTCCTTTCCTCGCCGATGATAAAGGAATCTCTGGCCTTCTATGCCTGGACCGTTTGATTGTTTTGTTTTGGAAATGGTGTGTACCATGGAGCCTTGCTGAGCTAAGTTTTGTGTGTATATATTTAAAAAAATCAGTGTTTAAATAAAAAGACCTATGTACTTAATCCTTTAACTCTGCGGATAGCATTTGGTAGATAGTGATTAACTGTGAATAATAAACGTACAGTGAATTCTTCACTTCGTGTCTTCTTTTCCCTTGTCTTGAAATTTCAAAATTTCAAAATCAGCCGATCCCACGTGGCTGACTGCCGCTTGAATCCCTATCTCAGGCGCTTCAGAAGCACACTGGGCGCATGTGCTCACAGGCCCAGAATCCCAGCAGGGTGGAGAAACAGAGAAGGGATCGCAGCCCTGCTGGGGACTGCCTCCTCACTCGCTCTCCCTGTCTCCCTCCAACAACCACACATGCCCTCTGGCAAGTAAAACAAAACCTAAAACACTAAGGCATTGGGTCAGGAGTCTCAGGGCTCTTGAGTCCTTACTTCCAAATCCCCTGGCCTACATCACCCTTCCGGCGGGTGGGTCCTGCGGGCCTCTTGGCGAGGGGGGCCCACACTTGGCTGTTCTGCAGAATTCCTGGGGACTTGTTAATACAGGGTCCACACCCCCCTCGACTCCTTGTTTATTTGGAGTGAAGACAGACTGGCGCGCCTGGTGTCTCTGATGTGCAAAGCCGCAGAGATCGCCACCCTGCAGTCAGGCAAGACCAAGAGCTGGGTGGGCTGAGCGTGGCTCGAGCTTCTCCTGCCCCGGCTCTCTGCTCAGATGGTGTCTGCCACGTGCTCACGGCGCCAGCAGGTGGCTGCAAGGGTGAGTGGGCCTGCTCCCCTCACTAGCTACAGTCCATCAGGACCCCTTTTCTTTTAAAGAGGTTTCTGCTATAGGCTGTGTGCTCGCCAGAGAGACAGAAAGTGAGAAATCCCTTCCCAGGGCGATGGCCACGCTGCAATCAGTTCTCCATTCTCCTCTCGGGATTTTGGGCATGTACGCACAGCGCCCAGCGTGACTTAAAAGCCGCAGGTCTGGGACTCAAATTGAAAGTCGACAACATGTGAGTCCAACAATATAGCAATTATGCCATCTGTCAGTCCCTGTTCTTTTGTTTTTAATTGGGGGGAGGGGGGATCAGCAGGTGGCGTGATGGTTAAGACGCTGGACACTCCCACATGGCTGACCACGGTTTGAGTCCCAGACCTGGTGGTTTGGTTTCTGTGTGTGTGTGTGTGATCAAATTAAAATAACAAATTTTTTAAAAAAGATTTTAGGAGTACGCAGGTAGCATGGTGATTAAGGATGCTGAACTCCCACATGGCTGACTGTGGTTCGAGTCTCAGACCTGGTGGCTTGGTTTCTCACTTTCCTTCTCTCGCACACACACTCTGTTGCCCTCTGGTCAAATTAAAAATAAACAAAAGTTAAATAAAAATATTTTTTTAATTATTTTTAATTTAGTTTTAGTAGAGAAAGAGAAAGCAAGCTGCCAGGTCCAGGATTCAAACTGCAGTCAGCCATGTGAGAGTCCAGACCCTTTTCCATGCCCCCCGCTGGCCCCACCAGGCACACTGTTTAGAGAGCTTGTGAACAGGACAGTTAAACTCAAGGAAAGTCCCCTGTCGTCTTGGACTAGTCCTTCACTGGACCTCACGTACCACCCCATTGTGGCCACTTGGGCAGGGGAGTTGACACCTCATGCCTGCAGCCACTGTGTGAGAAGGGACCTGACCCAGCACTGCCCTCCTGGAGCCCAATGGTCCACTGTCCACTTAGACAAGTTACCCTTGAAGCTGAGCAGAAGTTTCCAGAATGGAGCCATCTGAAAAGGCGGCAATTGGCCTCACTGGATACATGCTCACTGTCCCCTGTCTCGGATTCCTCCAGGTTAGCATGGGGAGTCATGGCTTCTGCATGCTCGGCGGTTTGTCACAGATTTTTCAGTGGCTCCATGCCCTCTTCTCGTGGCTCTATTCCTGGCAAGGTGTCCATGGGGGCCTTCAGGAAGCTCCCAGCGTCTTCCAGGATTCCGGTCCAGTGTCTGGCCGCAGAATGGCTCAGCTGCATTGATGGGTTGAAGCCATGGTGGGCGAGGGCCTTGTAGGCTCCCGTCACTGAGCTCGCTCCAGGGTGCCCCTGCTGCGCTGGAGCTCACGCCCTCCCACTACACTACATGTTCCTAACACTTCGTGACTCGGGGGCTTCGGACAGTGACTGGAGACAGGATGATCGGCAGCCAGGTGCTCCGCAGCCAGGTGCTCTGACGATCTGCAGCACGTGGGCTGGGAGGGGTGGGGGACGTCTTGGAGAGAAGAGGCTGGCTCAGAAGCCGCTGCCTTTGACATTCGCACCCTGGACCTGCTGCAGTGGTCATCGCTGGGTGTGGGACATCTGGGGGAGCTGAACGTGGAGGTACTGAGGCGCTGCGCTCACATCTAGCGCACCCCCAGATCGAGCCCTAGGTTACACTCAGGAGTAAAATACTGATGTCCATAGACTTCTGTGTCCACCTCATCTTAGTCCTGGGGGTCCCAGGCCCCACACTGAACCCAGCAGCCCTGAGGCAGATGGCCAGCATCAGAATCCTAAACAATTTTGTATGTTAGGGAGGAGTTTTTTCCTTTTGTTTTTTAAATTTCCTATAGAGCATGTGCACTTGCCAAAGAAAGAGGAAAAGTGAGAAAGCACCCCTGGGGAGATGGCCACACCACAGTCCCTTCTCCATTCTCTGCATTTTGCACACACACCCGGCATAGTTCTCAAACCACCAGGTCTGGGACTCGAACCATACAGCCATGGGAGATCCAGCTACCCTCGCCACACCGCTGGCCAGCCCAGGTCATTGCTGTTGAAGAGGTGAGAATGCAAGTGTGTGGTGACAGCGCAGGTACACCATACCGGGCCATCCAGAAAGCCATGACACATTTTGGCGTAGAAAAAATGAATTAAAAAATTTTTTTTCAAATTTAACTATATTTTTCAATTATCTATTTTAATTTGACCTGAGAGGGACAGAGTAAGAGAGAGAGAGAGGGAAAGTGAGAAAACAAGCCACCGGGTCCGAGCCTTGAACCGCAGTCGGCCATGTGGGAGTCCAGCGCCCCTAACCACCACGCCACCTGCCAGCCCCCAGAATACATGACTTTTCCAATGACCCAGTATTACATGACAGTAGTATTGATTAACCAACTTTTAAAAAAATTATTATTTAATTTTATTTATTCTTTTTTATTTTGACCAGAGAGAGAAAGTGAGAAAGCAAACCACCAGGTCCAGGACTCAAACTGTGGTCAGCCATGTGGTAGTCCAGTGCCTTAACCAACATGCCACCTGCCCATCCCTCATTAACCTACTTTCTACTCAGAGCATTCCAGACACTAGATCTTAAAAAACTAACAGCTGGTTTAAAACACTATAGTCCATCCAAAAAAAATTCCTGAGCTGGTCTTTCAGGACTTGATTCTGGCCCACCCGTGCGCAGCCCTGGCCTTGGGTCTGCAGAACAGCCTTGTTCGTCTCTAGCCCTGAGCGAGGGGTTAGCAGTGGTGCAGCGCCGTCTGGGTCTTGCCGCTGCGGGACTTCCCTCCAGGGCAGCTGCTGAGTGCTCACCTCATGCCGCACGAGCTGGGGGATGGCCCTTAGCTGGCCCCTCGCCCTGTGCCACACGGGACGCAAAGGACAAGCGTCCCCTTTTTCCTTCCTTTTTTTTCCGGGGGGGGGGGCATGCACGCACACGCACCCGGAGTGAGTTTTAAGCCGCCAGGTTTGGACTCAAACTGATTGACTACCTGGGAGCCCAGCAACGTAACCATTATACCATCTGCTGGTCGCAAGCTCCCCTTTCATTTACCCCCTTTACCAGGGTATGAACACACCCGGAAGGGATTACGTGGCGAGCCTCATTCCCGAGTTGACGCCCTCCTCCCCACTCTAGTTAGAGGCTGGGGACAGACATGTTTATCCCCCAGACCACCATCTGCCCCCGTGCGTCCCTACACCAAGGGCATTGCTGTGGGCAGATAGGACTTGACAACTGCTGGGGATTAGTGTGGTCCTTTTCTTTTAAGTTCATTTATTTCTTCCGTGAAAAGGAGGCCAAGAAACAGCACCCCCAACAGGGGCCTGACCCAGCAGTCCGCCCCTAGCGTCAGCCAGCCCGGCATCACGGGACCAGCGTACCCAGGGAGGTGTCTGGGCACAGTCCCAGAACCATCCCATGGGGGCCAGCTCACAGGGCTTCACGGTTTGCCATCGCATGCTGCCCAGCCCTGGGCCATTGTCAGGACGGCAGGAGGGGGGCAGCGGTGCCGGTACAGTGGAGGAGGGACGAGCGCCCCCCAGCGCCTCCTGCAGGGAGGGGTTGTCCAGGCACGTTAGCGGGGCTCTGAACACTGGCTGAACGACGGCTCTTCTGTCACTGGAGGCTTCCATGGTGTAGGACTGATGCATTTGGAGCAGCTGACGCCGTGCACGCAGGAAATGAGGCTGGTCAGAGCCCGCCGGTCACCCCATGGTTCCCTGGCCAGTCGGCTCCATCACACACGTAGCTGCCGGGGGACCAGGGGCCGCGGGCTCCAGTCCTGCCTGTGCGTGCTGTGCTTGGTTGGCCATGTGGCCCTCCCTGTCTCCTGCTGGTGGCGGATGCAGGACAGTCAGCAGGACTTGGCTCAGTGGCCAGCCGCGACACAAGTTAGGAATAAAACGTCCAATCGGGCCACTGCCACTGGGGGTCCTTCCCTACTGGCCTTTCCAGGGGCCACACCGGGGAACAGCGAGGGAGAAACAAGAGGCTGTTAAAAGCATGAGGCATGGGGCTAGTAGATAGTGTAATGGTTACGTTGCTGGATTCCCACATGGCTGGCCACAGTTCAAGTCCCAGACCCAGGGGCTTAAAAATCACGTGGGCACGGGACCAGTAGTTGGCATAATGGCTATGTTGCTGGACTCCCATGTAGTTGACCGTGATTTGCGTCCTGGACCTGGTGGCTTAAAACTCACGCCGGGCGCGTGTGCGTGCGTGCCCAAGATCCCGAGAGGAGAATGGAGAAGAAGGGGTTGCGGCATGGCCATCCCCCCTGGGGGGTGATTTCTCACTTTTTGTATCTCTGTCTCTCTCTGTCTGTCTGGCGAGCGCACGCGCCCTATAGCGAAAACCTCTTAAAAAAAAAAAACATCGCACAGGCCCA